AGAAAGTAATGTTATGTATCATGGACTTCAATCCGTAACTTAATTTAACGTTGATATTACCCAGAAACCACGGCGTCTTCAACGTTTATTAGAATTGTGATGTTTGAATAATTTTTATGAAATGTATGTAACTCAAATCGTGTCGTGTTCAAACGCAACACAAAAACTTATAATACTTCGTAAGTACGAGACTGTTTGTGTGTTTGTTAGAGATGCCAGGTGGCTGGACGAGTGACGTGAGTTAATTAGTTTCTTTAGCGAGTAAACTGAACTACGTCGCCTTCTAATGGACAAACAGTGATTTCCACTGACTGTTGCATTAGTTACATTTAGTATAACTTGTTTACGAGGTCTCTTAAAAAATGTGGCAACGCTGTAGTCACACCGTTTTTCCACATTGTGCTTCTAAGTATCTCTTCATAACAATCCAATAAACAATACTAGCCTTTCATAACCAAATTATTTTCTCTAAAACAGGTATTGTAGAGCCTCTTAGCACGTACTGAAATATATTTCCCGCTGACTACAAACAATATACGAGTGTGTGAGATGTAACATAGTCTAAATTTTTGAGAAAATTTAACAGGAAGTTTACTCCCATTGAGAACGAAGAAAGTGACTTGAATAAACCTAGGGCCATCTGTGATGGTGTCTCTTTTTAGTTGTCTGTTACTATAGGCTATTTCAACTAAGATGAGATACGGTCAAAACAAATTCCTCTCTCCTCTCACTCCTTTTGAAACACGTGGTAGCGATGTTACAGTCTGTCCTGCTATATCATTCTGATACTTTCTCTGTTACTGTAATACTCTTTGCCTACTACATTAACGTATAATGTAATTAAATAAAATTAAGTTAGGAACAAATAAACTCATACTAGATAACTGTGGCTTCACCGTTACAAGTCACAGAACGTACGAAAGAATGTTTTCCTCATGGGTAGTCCGTCAACTGGCTGTTCAACGCGCTGTTCCAATAGATGTGCGCCCACCCCAAATCGTTTGTACAGAAAGAACTGAAGTAGCATGTATAACTGTAACATTTAACACTATTTATGTAATAAATTCTTACTAAAATGACGCTCCAAACCGTTATCACTGCAAAGAATAATATAATTGCTATTGCATTATTATTAAAAAGAATTAACAATGATATGAAATGACACCGGATGAGGGACAAGGTTAGGAAGGGGTAAGAGACCTTCCCTTTACCTGACTTTGTTTACATCGCCTCTCGTCTTACCTGGAACGCAGTAAAGCACTTTTACGTTCAAGTGATGGAATTTTTACCTGTAAGTTCTTCACACTCTCCATTGTGTGGCAAGATTCAACAGTTCTCATACTTTGTAGTGCTCTGTAAGAATTATTTTTTGTCAGTTTCCTTTTCAATGTGTGTGTGTTTCTTTTATTTACAGAATTTTACGGACTACGTATGAGAAATATGACGAAACCGAAAGTCGTGCTAGAGTGGTTATCACTCCTGTTTTGTATTCGGTAGGTCCTGGGTTTAAATCTAGGCCCGGTGGTTGGCGATCGTGACTGAGGATTTTTAAAAAAATTCACTTCTATAAAAGCTTCATTATATCAATTATAAATAAATATATATTTATTACATGTATCACCCCGATGAGAGAGGCTCGTTCGGGAAGAAGTTACGATATAGTGAACAGTGAAAATTACTTAATGAGGAACTTCGTGATTTATATACGTTGCCTAGTACTGAGAACTGACGGTGATACGAGAGACAAGAAAACACGCAGAATTTTGTTGGAGAAACGTCTTGTTAAAATGTCCAATTAGAAACACAACAAGTTAGGAATCGTATCCAATTTCTGGCTTTAATGTTGTTGAACCTGCGATTTCTGTTTCCACTGTGTTGTTGTCGTGATGATATCTGCACGTTACCTCTAGCTTGCAGTAAAGTATATTTTTTTGTAAATCTGATTTAAGTTGGCGTTCTTTAACGACTATGAATTTATGTAATGTACAAAACATCATCGTAATACTTAAGTCCTTCGGAAGGAACGCTCTGTTTCTGCTCAGACCCAAGTTTTGAATCGCGAACATCTGCTAAGTTGATGCTCAATTGTCTCTACAACATTAACTCTATTGCATTTCAAGGCTTCCTTCAGGCTAGTGAACAGACATTACAAGTAGCCGTATGGGTACAACAGGGAGATTGTCTCAACATCACGTTAGCTAATTGTTTGCCCACGTGAAGCTACTTATGGTGAACGGAATCCTCTTAATTGAATAAAAGTAGGTGAAATATAGGTTCTCACGGCGGTGAATATCACGATGATTGTCTTCTGGGTTGTGGCGCCGTGTGGGCTCGAACCGGAGTTTCTCCACCTTCAAGGCTTCAGCCATTTGTTCTGTCATTGCGTATTCAATCACACACGCGAGCTACCGGTTCAGCTGGTTGAAGGGTGTCCAAGATGCTCGTCCGTCTTTGAAGAGACAAAACTCACATTCGATTTTGTTGTGATCCGAGATGCAGTTTTTATCAAATGAGAATTTTCGGTTGAGCTCGTTTCCATCTTGTCTTAAGGCTTCATGCACACGCGTTGTTATGTATACTGTAAATCGACGCTCAGTTTAAATCCTGACCACGTGCTGCTAAATGAACTAAGTTTCCATGTACTTTAGTAAGATTTTTAAAACGAGTTGAAAAAATTACAATGAAGGATTTTGAAAGAGACAGTCGTGGACTGTTTATAGGTGGAGTCTTAGCATTTGTATAGGACGGTTGAGGAAAACATTAACAGACCGAACAGCTGGTACCTGACTGGAGAATCTGTCCAGGTATATTCCGGATACAAATGTTAGTACCGGAGGGTATAGTCGGCGCAGTGGTTTTTGGTCGGTGGAGAAGCTGGCGGACGGGCCTACTCTGTGTACCTGAGGTGGCACGGTCGGCGTATTTCTTTTGTTTGGGCGTTCAGTCACACAAGCTCCTCGGTGCAGTCAGCATTATACTATCGCACAAGAGACTCGCTCCTAGCCTTCCCCTTGAAAATTCCACTACTGCGCCGACTATATGCGCTGTAGATCCGTCGTGCCTTCTTCAGATCGTCACCTTCACGAGAAAAACATTTTTATCTGCCGAAGTATACACTGTAATTCAATATTTGTAATGCGATCCATATTCTCCAATATATTTCCCTTCTTTTTACCAGGATATTTGAGGAGCTGGCTAGTTAACCTCTAAAACCTACCTCCAGTCCTCAAAAACAGCGTAATTTCACAGTCTATGCGCTAGTGGGATATCTGTTAGAATATTCTCTTTGACATTCTTTCAAACAACGATTGCACAGAGAAGCTTCCAACGCAGAGACGAAGACCGGCTAACAATTTGAAACACGAAAAATAAAATGTCTTACTTTCGTGGTTCAGTGGTGTTCTATACACTGGAACACAGCACAGCCGATCAGATAAAATGAGTCGTTAGCCATCTCCAACCAGGCGAGGAGAGGAGGAACCGCATGACATGCCAAGGAAATATTTTTGCTAAATCTCAACTGTTAATGCACTAGTGCCAGGGGATTTTCCCCGGGGGTAAAGCGGCCTTTGCGTGAAGCAAACCGCTCACAGCCATCTTGTGTCGAGGTCAAGAAACAGTGGAGCTATCGCTTCACTACTCCACTCGTCTGTTAAATCGATACAGCTCGAGAACCACTGGATGGATTGGTTGGAATTTTACGTGGAGGTTGTGCTGTTCTTCATAACCTCAAAATCGTACTTTTGAACATCCTACAATCGGTTATAACAAAATTACGGGTGACGAAAGTCGTGAAGTAGACACTAAGGTGCTGCGATCTGGTGGCCAAAGTGGGAATGAGGATATTAAGTGTACTCCGGCACTGAATACACCTTCCGAGCTTGTTTAATTCGGTTACTTGTTAAAGAATTTACCTTAAACCTTTTAAACGTGAATGGATTTAGAAATGAAAACTCAAAATTGTTCCGGTCATTGAAGTCGATGATAATATGTCAGTCTCTTGCACGAAGATTCGTTAGGCTTAAGTAAAAGTAAACTTGTCCCGCTATACGCCATACGGGCGTTTGGGGGAGAGCCGGTATAGCTCCTACTCATTCTTGGACTCGGCACTAGATGGGGGTGAGTGGTCAGCATCACGCCCCGGCCGCACTTTACCCCCGGGAAAGGTACCCATTAGATAAGAGGCTGGGTGGGACTCAGAACCGGTCTGGACGCAGACGCTAGATGAAAAATCCTCTGCCCCTGTCGGGGATCGAACCCCGGGCGTCCACTACACTGACTGAACTACGCCGGCTCATCAATGTAACGTTTTGTCATCACGGCAGTTCCTGTAGTTATACCTGTCAGTTTCGCTGAATGTAATTCGAGAAAGGTCACAAGTACGTTGAGATCCTTGTGGTTGATCTGATTTCGCGTTCAGAAATTCAAATTCACATCATAGATATACAAGGTCGATATCCTATTTCTACACCTGTGTTACCTGACAGGCCTCTTGCTTTCGGGTTTTCGAATTGAAGTGTTGTATGCATGCCTTATCTAACCTAACCTAACCTCGCCCGATTTTATCAGCATAATGATATAATGAAATACTGAAGAGTGTGATAGTCGGTGTTTTATAAATCAGATTCAAAAATCGAAGTGTTTGTGTTTGGTACTGAAATTTCTTTTGACGTGGTAAGTTTAATATCTCGTGGATGATGTTTAAAATCAGACAGAATCACACAAGAGGACAATTTCAATTGAAGATATTTGAGACTCTCAACATCTGCTGTGAAATGGCGACGGTTCAAGAAATGCTTCAACACGCCCATGGAAATTATAAAATGTTCTGCTTGGAGCCAGATGAACTTTTTGTTTGAAGACTGACGGGATGGAGGGGTAGAAGTGGTATTGTTAACATAAGACACCGGGATGCTACACTACAGACGTGGAATTGTCATTTGTGTGCTTCTTCCGCGATGCGTTTGCGTAGTTGTGGAACGTGATTGGTGGGTTCGGCATGTTACCGGGAGAGCGGTCGTGACGTCATACGGTGCTGCAAGCTAGCAGTCTCTCGGTGTATGCGCGGCACTCGCTCTTGTGTGTGGACCACGATAGGACTTTGGATCGAAAGGGAAGACTACCAACTCACAACTCCGACTTGAATAAGGTGAGTCAGTAGTTATTGTTTCAGTTCGTCTATCGTTCGGTGACATTCCCAAGACGTGTCTTAAATCTTTGTGTTTATCGTGAAATCTGTACTGTTGTCTGCGTGCTGACCGTGTTTGTGCCAGCGAGGAGGCTTCTCCAATGTTTGGTTAAATACGCCGGTGTCATTTATAATCATGAACAAATAATTCCTTACTCTTTAAATTCATCAAGAGTCAACGAGTGCGCGCATATTTACGAAGAAGAAGAAATTTCCAGTTTTTTTTCTCTCGTACTGTTGGAACAATTATTGATTTGCTGGATAAAGTGTACTAAGGCGATTGAAAACGTTTTCAGTTTTGAACCAGAGTTCGTAACGTTTCATTCCGTCACTCCTGAATTAATAAGGAGCATACTATTCTAATTTTAGACATATTTACAAGGTGTTCTATGTATTCGGTGTATTGTAGGAAGAGAAATTTCTTGCATTCGAATGTTTTTCTGTATCGAGTTTCAACAGTAATCTGTATAGAGCCTGACCCATTTAACGTGAAACCCGCCATGGCATCATACCGCACCAGCATTGAGCGGACACAACGGTTATTACCCACGTAGTGATTAAAATTGATCAGCCAATTTTAATCACTACGTGGGTAATAACCGTTGCATGTTAGCAGATGGTTGCCCAGTTACGTGGGACTCTTATCAGAGTTTGTGCCGGTATATTGGTTTATTATTGGTATCTGCAGTTTGAGATGCCGTCATGAGCGATCATTTCTGGGAAGGTATACCTGTATCAGATACAAGTACGTTAGTTCTTCAACGGTTAAGTGGCCTTTGACTAGTTTGGTCCCCGGAATTTGCTACCGTATTTTAAAGATTCATAGCGATACTTCGGCTGTGCTATAGGTTCTGTTTTCGTTCCCTTTCCATGATGACAATTTAATAAGTTTTCTTATGCCGTCTAATATATATATACGAGTTGCATAGCGTAGAGAAGTTTATGGTGTTCTTGTGGCACCTGGATTTTTTTTTGAACACTTGAATTTGAATAGAAAACAAATGCATCAAAGACCCATTTTAAGCCATTTTTCGCTGTATAATTTTCTTGGAAGGGGCGATTACTTGTTTTAATTCTCTTTTCAACCAAAGGCACGACACTTAACACAACTTGAGTAAGAATTAAACAACAAAGAACCTTGCGTACACGAACGTAGAAACGTATTGTTGGTGACACTGTCAGCAAATGGAGTCAACCCATTTGCTGCAAAAGGTGGTGTGAGGTACTAACATTGCCATTGTTGTAAGACCACCGTCATCAATAACTGCACAGCCATTGCTACTAAATTGTTTCAAGTTTTGCGCATAAGTTTATTGTCGTGGTTTAACTAATTAAAAAATGTGCACGGTTACGGAAATAATGTTATAATTTGATCTTTAATTTTATTAATTTTAAATTTAAGGCTCTCTGCGCATTTGGCAAAATCTCGCGGTATACCGGAGTTCATTTAAAAAAATCCCGTAAATTCTAAAAAGCTAATTCGTTTCAACAGAAGGTCAAAGATAGTTGCATAAAGTGATGCGCAGGTTACCGGTTCATCTTTACAATGCAGTTATCAGTTGAGTTGTAGGAAAGGTTGGGCCAGCTTGGTATTTTCTCGTTCTTTTACACTGTTCTTATAACCGGTTTGCTTTCACTTGAGTGAGACCGGTGATGGTTTTTGTCCTTAGCTCCTTCTTACGCGCAGTGATCGTACGCGGTGGAGCGCTGTGTTGTACCGCAATGCAGGAAAAGCTGGTGTACTTCATAAGTTCCTATAAATTTTAAGGCGATTTAACCGTGCTTATTATATTAGTTAGTCTTGTTCATTTGTTGTAGAGTAATTTGTTTCAGAATCATCCATTAAGCAGAACGTATTGAATTAGGTTAACAATTGACGGTGGACGATGGACGTTACTGTCTCCGTCCACGTATTCTTCAGAGCGTCTTATTCTCAAATACCTCCAATCAATGGAGTAATTGGAACGATTTCTATAAGACTACTAAATTATGAAATTAATTACGTAGAAGTATCTGAAGAGAATGTAAACACATTTAAAAAGTAACACGGTAGAATGTTTTTGTATCAGAAAAAGTACGACTGCAATAAAGTTTAAGGGCAAACGGCTTGGCGCATGAGCGGCTCATATCAGCAGTGGCGGAAATATTTGCGACGTGTAATTCGTAGTGCGCATCATTTGATACAATGTCGTGAAATGATGTAATAACATATGCTGGCGTCACTTTCATGACGATCCCCCGCTCGAGTCATGGATCGGTCAAGGATGGCGAACCGTTTAACATCGGCGTATCGAAACATACGTGAATTGTTCCAAAAATGTTGTTTCAGTCCACCATAAAAGTTCAGAGAATTGTTTGCCCATTTTGATCAGCTCTTCCATTCGCCTGAATGTTTTTTTATTTCTTTGATAGTAAAAGCGACATTATTGTGAAGTCAGGTTTAAACACAGTTTAGCGTTTGAAAATAACGGTTATGTACAATCGAGAACAGCAAATATCGATCGGGCAATCAGAGCTCAATAAAACGTAGTTTCAAATAGATTCTCTCATCAGCAAATCTGGTAAAAGGGTGACCGTGAGAAGGGTAAAGGATGTACAGGTATCCTAAGAAGATGCAAAACGCTGACGTACGTAATAGACGTGTGTATACATCTTTTGGGACGTCTGTATTTATTTTGTACTTGCAAAGACTTCGCGCTTTCATATGGAAATATGGCGGCCCATCAAATGTGCTTACGTGCCAAGCGACCATTTCGCCTCGCGTTTCACCTTGGGGCGTCTGCTGTTCGTGCTGCGTTCTGGCCGGTGATGGTGGACAGTGCAATGAACAGTATCGTATTGCTTTGTAAGGGTCGAACAAAGCAGTGTCCCGTCATGCAGCAACTTGCACGACGAAATCGTTGATGAAATTTTATTCAACAACAAAGATACGTTCGTATTACAGTCACATGATCCAGTTTAGCACGAAAATATTCCAACCTTTTGTACCTTGATCGTGTGAACTGGGATGTTGGCAGAGTTCACACTTATTGTACTTCGAAACGAGATCTTTGGTGAGTGTCGTGGGAATTTTTATCCATTAGGTTTCTTGTATTTACAAACGCTCACACACCCTGAACACACGATGAAGTGTTCTGAAGCCGGGTGGGGGGGATATTTTCATCCACATGATTGGCTGCTGGTGTGTCTAGCCTGGTCAGGTGTGCTACAAACTTGTAGACGTGATAAAGAAGGCTGTAGTCGCAGTAGGGTGTCCGGTGTGGCAAGATTTTAGCATTAGCGGGGGTAGACACGAGTTAGTACCGCTGGAACAACAAGGGGCCAGGACTTTCCGCTTCGTACGAGTTTCCGTTCAACAAGAGTACAAGACGTACCACAAATTGTTTACAGTCGAAATCAATGGTACATACGCACATTGTACTGTTTCTCGTTGCTCTTGAAGTATTTTGCACGTATTCTGTCGACTTTCAAGCGTGACAGATGATTAATATATTGCGAGAAACAGCTCCGAACAAAAGTAGCCTACACGGAGAAAAGAAAAATATTAAAGAGGGATATTTTTCATTTATCGCGTCTTATAAAAGATGATTAAATCGTGCGATGTGGATAACGTTTGTTGTATCTGTTTTGTCACTACAGAATGAAATATTGAAGCGACTATTTTTAATATACTATAATTTTGTATATGTAATAGGTCTAAGAATGGTACGAAATTAATAATACATTCTCGAATTGTGAATTACGAGTGTGTTCGGGCGTGTTTGTTCCGCCATGTTTTTCCACACGAAGCAGTTCGAGAACCGCTGAATCGATTATTGTGAAATATGATGGTGGCCACTTCTATAATTCATCTACACTCCTAATTTTTGTAATTCGTTAAATATTTACACTGGTGGGATGTTTCTAACAGTAGTCGTACGGAAAAGTATAAAGTATTTTGTTCCCAGTACCATTTTTTTTCGTTAGTCTTAACGGTTTTCGAGACAAAGGGATTTTTTTTTGTCATCTCGTAACTCGAGAATCCTTAGACGGATTTTCACAGACATTCATAGTAGAGGTTCTCCTTTCTTCGTTACTTGTATGAGAGCACGAGAAGTTGGGATTCTCGAATTTAGAGACAGTCACAAAGCTAAAGGGCTAGTAGTGATGCGTATGGAAAATCACGAAACACTGGACGACAAGGTTACGTGAAAGACAGTGTAATTGTAACCACTATATTGTTAGCGATTTTTATAACCTGGGTTTGTTACTAACAATATCTTACGTGTTGGTCTTTTCCCTCCCAAGGAAATTTACGACATTTCTGTAAAGGAGTTAAGTCTTCTGATCTCAACTATGGCGTCAGATCAAGTATCATAATGTATAAATATTTAATTAAAGTGCACTTCTGTAGGAGTGGTTATCGGGATATACTGCCTTGTGGCTAGCAGTGCGGGCCACAAGCGGTGTTTTTTTGGGAAATTAACATGAAAATAATTTGCCATTTATTTTTTATTGTGTCGGTTATTGAAAATTTCAGAAGCAATTTATAGAAAATTCGTAGCAAACACAAATAGACGACTTTTCACTCACGTCACTCTGCTTTGATTGGAATTTGAATTCAGCGAAGCAGCGACGTTCTCGACCACCCAGCAGACTTTATGGCCTCACAAAGACCGCATTCAACATTTTCACAGCCGTGAAAAGTGAAATGTAATTGATTTCTCTTCGTGTTTCCTTTCTTTCTTTCTTGAATAATGTATACTGTGTTCGGACGTCGTATGATTCAAATGAAAGTTACTTTGTTTTACCTAAAAATAGTTTGTATCGGTCATTGGCTACCACGACGAAGTTTACTTAACTCATGGCTGCAAAATGCAACTAAGTCCTCACCCACGGTCAGCCAGATCTGTAGGAGAGCGCTTGGAAATGGGGCGTATTACGAAGGAAACTTTTCCTTAATCTTTGCCAGTATGGATAAT